ATCTCCTAACATTGTCGTGCATTCATTATCATTTTCAGATTTTCAAGAATATCCTAATAGTGATAATTAAATAATTCTATTTTAAATTAATTATAAAACAATGATTCTTTCGTATTTACTTTTATCTTAATATTATTATATATGTTTGTCAATATTTTTATAAAGGAAATGATTTGAAAATTATAATTTATGGATGATTTTATAAATAAGATTGACTAATGAATATAAATTTAAACTAAATGTACTATTTACTTTTATTTAACTTATTTTAAATACAACTATATATTTTCTAACAAGTACATGTATGATTTTTAATTATTTTATTTTATTTTTATAATTACTCTATTTTTATTTATATTACAATTAAAGTAAATGGTAGATTAATTTATGTAACACATATATCATAAATTAACGTTTATATTATACATATTATTAGTAGGTAAACTTAAATCGTATTATGCATATTGTTTTAGTAAATAATTTGAACAAAATAATTTTATTATGATTATATATTTTCACCTAACAAATAATTTTTTCCACAAAAAATTAACTTTTTGTATATGTTGAAGATTTTTTTTTTTTCATTCAATCATTCTTAAACATATGCATATTCACTAAATTATTCATTTTCTATTTTTTAATACTATACTATATCCAAAAAAACCTATAGTAAAATATATGATATTTAGAAATTAGAGATGATATTTTCATTGGTGCATTATATATTGTACACTTGTGAAATTAAATATATTTTATTTAAAAAATCTTAAAAATAATATTTTTCTTACATTTAAAAAATACATTTTCCGTAATTTTTCTTCTATTTTTTATTTCTAACTTACATATTTGTTTAGATAATCTTAACATCTTTATATCAACTACAAGAAATTAAATTATTGAATACGTAAAAAATATAATAAAAGATCATAGATAAAACAAATAATAAAGTAAGTAGAATGAAAAATAATTGATTGAAAAAATGATTGTAACTATTAATATTTATAACTCCCTAACAGTTGTGACAAAATTACATTATTTGCCTTAGAATTAATTATAGCGTATGACATTTTTGGCAATTCAATTTTTTCAAGAAACAAGTCTCACTTTTAAGATAGTTATTTGAAAAATGAACTTTAATCCATTTCAATTATTATAGGGATTTAAAACCCCACAGTGAAATAATGTGTTAAATTTATTTGGCTTCATTTCGATTAAACCAAAAATAGTTAGATTGTTTATTATATAAAAGTTGTAATTTTACTTACAAGAGATTGATTATGAATGATTTAACTTGTTACACATGATATAATGAATTAAGGGAAAATTACACTTTACCTACTAACTATACGGAAATTTACACTTTGCCCACAAAACTTTTTACACTTTGTCTACCTACCTTTGATTTTTCGTACACTTTGCCATTTTCGGTCACCGCCGGCGTCATAAAACAATACGTGGCTTTTGTGCATTATTGCCACGTGTCGCCGACAATGTCCGGAAATGGCAAAGTGTACAAAAAATCAAAGTTAGGTAGGCAAAATGTAAAAAAAATAAAGTTTTGTGGGCAAAGTGTAAATTTCCGGATAATTAGGAGGTAAAATTTAATTTTCCCTTTTACTAAATTTTGAAGATGACAATGAATATTCATGACCATTTAGTTGTAATTAATATTAAAAAATATATATTATATTGGAGTTGATGATGATGATTTGTAACTCATCTGCCCTTATTATTTTATATATATAATACTAAGTTTTCTAAATTGTGGAAGCATCATACTAACTTTTCTATTTTTTCTCTATTTCACAAGACAAGTATACACAATAAATAATAAAAATACATCCATGATAAAATAAAAAATAATTATAATGTCACAATACTAAAATAATCAAAAGAAATAATGAAATGAATAAATATCCAAAAGTTACGTTTCTTTTTCTTGAGGATAATTGGATTTTCAAGTTAGATGAATAAATGTATACTCTTGTAATAAATAAATTAATTTGTGGATGATGAAGAATAATAGCTAGGATGAGATTAATATAAATTTTATATGCATGAAAAATAATTGTACATGATGAAGAGAAATGGAAGAGTTACATATATTTATAAAAAAAGAAAATATGTGTGTAGTTGTAATGATTTTAATTTAAAATTATAATATTACGTTTATATCTTTCAAACAAAAGTTACATTTCATTTTTCTTTTTTTTTTTTTTTGGTACATTTTTTTTGGTACATTACATTTCATTTTTCTTAAAGATAGTATTGGTCATTCTAGTTTCTATTTAAATGTGGTTGGAGAGTTACAAATCACAATTATCAATTCTAATTTAAAATCACAAATTACATTTATGTCCTTTAAAGTAACATCTTTTGAGGGCAATATGGGCAATTCAAAATTTCAAGAAATAACTCATACTTTTAAGGTAGTTATAGAAGATTATAGATTATAGATTATAGATTATAGATATAGATTATAGATTGATAGATTGATAGATTATAGATTATAGATAGATTGCTTTTTCCTTTAGATTCGCGCACTACCTCGGCTTCTGAGGCCGCCTCTGTGGGGCGCGACATGTCTCCGGGGAGTTCTTCCAACGGTCTTCTCCACCTATGGCATTGCATTTCTGTCATTCTTGAGCTATTTTCATCCTCTTCTATCTTTGGGAAATAATTTCCTTCATTTCTCAAAACATATCCACTTGTAAAACTTTTCTTTTACCATCCAATTCTAAGAGTATCGTTTCTCCATTCATTCTCCTCCTATTTTAGAATTATAAAATTATAGATTAGTTATGGATTGGAATGCATTTTCTACAAAAATTTTTAAACACATATTCAATCTTTTTTTCATAAGTTTTAAGTGTACATACTATTTTTTTTTTTCACACATATTCAATGTTTTTCATAGATTTCAAGTGAACATATTAATTGTTTAGCTGACAAACTAACCAAATTATTCAATTGTCGTGGCAATAAGATTGTATTCAACTAATTTTTTCAACCACCTTTTCGCTAGAGATATCACATTATTTCATTTTCATATATTTCAATCTCATCTTAGAGTTTATAATTGTAAATGGCATACCTTGTTGCTGCACTAATATCATGACTATCTCAAGCCTGCTCTACTGATTCTTACCTCTTTTAATGTTTGCGCGCTACTGATTTTCACAAATAGGAACTTGACTATAGCCATATGTGATGTGCCAATAAATTCCATAGGCCTAGGGACATAAATACGTTCTCATTTTAATGCTCATTAATTATAGTTTTCGACCGAAAAAGTAGAAATTATAATTTGGTGGATATTTCAGAAAGTGGTCGTAGTAGATACAATATTTTAATTGTTGTAAAAACAATAACTATATTAATAGCTGAAAAACTCAAAAGAGTACAAATCGAGGTGTCAACAGACACCAGAACCAGAATAATGTGGATCAAGGTGGTAGAAACTCCATAAAGGAGATACAAACAATTACTCCCTCCATTCTGAAATATAAGACATATAGACATATAAAGATTTCTCAATTTTTTTAAATATAAGGCACACTCAAAAACCATGACAAATTCTTTCTTTGTTTTTCCAAATATACCCTCATTGTGTTGAAACAAAGGAAGTGTGGAGTAGTTGTGATTAGAGTAAATAAGGTTAATTTAGTCAATTTACTCATTAATTAATGTCTCCTTAATATTTGTGCGAATTTCTTTAACGCCTTATATTTCAAAATGGAGAGAGTATAAAACAGAACACTATAAAAGAGACACTAACTCCTATATGGAGGCTAAACACCATACAGCATTGGACTAAACAAGACGAAAAACACATANNNAAAAAAAAAAAAAAAAAAAAAAAACGCATACCTAAGATACAAATACTACAAATACAGGTAAAATAAGGCCTCACCTAAACCTAGCAGACTAACCAAACGACCACCCAAACCAACAACTGAAACACACACCGCAGCACAAAAATCTAATAGAGCCGCAACCTAGACCCCAAACCCAAAAATTGCGGCTAAAAACAAACCGCCTCGACAGGTCTGGCAAGGAAGTAATTCCCAAGACCAAATCTGGGCTCTGAAACCTCACCCATCTAATTATCCAACTCCAAATGTTAGTATCTAAAATAAATTTAGTCGATAATTTAGTTTTGGAATTGTTCATACACTAATCACTATCATATTACTAGATTTTCCCAAAAGGCCGGTTTGGTGGGTTATATCTATAAATGAAACATTACTTCTAACATAATGCATACACTAAGCACTACTTCAAACCTTCCATTTTTCCTTCAACTCTTTTGGTAAAAAAAACATACATACAATGAGATGCAGCCTACAGGAAATTTTTATGCCAACAAATAACATCCAGGCGTCCGTCTCTTATTCCATTAAGCTCATCTACATAATTACATGTAACATTCATGGATGAACAGAATCAACTAAAAGTTCAGATGTCAAGCCATTGCCCGTTGCCAAAATAACCATTATCGATGCAATCCTAATCGAGCTAACAGCTTCAGAACAATAAATTCAAGTTCATAACACATTTCCCATCCAACTAGCAACCAAATTAGCCAATTACACTTTTTCTTCCTTCCCTTTTTTCTACACCTAACACATCATTGAGTAGAACATAATGGCGACTTACCCAGTAAAATCACCTGAATATCCGCTGGGACCCCTCATGATGCGAAGTACTTCATCAACTCAGCAAAGTTATTATCATCGACCGCATTATCATCCACGACAAAGTCAAAGTCACCAGTGTCCAATGAGCTTGTCCCGTCAAATTGAAGGCTAAACGGGCTGTACCCTGGTAACTCGGGCGACAAGGCATGGAGTGGGGATGGGAACTGAGTGTCAACGACAACGGGTGCATCTTTTGAAAATTGTGGAAAACCCCCTTGAGAAATATCATTTTCTGTTGGGGGCAACACAGGCAGATTAAATCCCGGTTCCTCAGGCCTGTACTGAATATCATTGAATGCGGGCTCAGGTTGAGGCAGTTGATGACTCAGACCAACCGCAGCCACGGGATTATAATATTGATAATTTATCCCTGGGTGCAGCTCCGGGTTTTGAGGCTCCTGAGGTTGGTTTGAATCTCGAGGCCACATTTGAAGACTGTGATGAGACCTGAGCTGCAACTGAGAATCTTGAGGCGAATGTGTCATAACTGAACCACTTTGAGCTGCAGTATGATGCAATCGTTCGTTTTCAGAGGACATGCTCCGAATTGGAACAGCAATTGTTGGCGGCAAGGGAAAGACAATGTTTGCAGCAGTTTCTACTGCACAAGGTTGCCCGTTAATGTTATTTCCCATTTCCAACTGGTTCTCGTTCATCGAATACTCAACAAATCGTGCCTGGTCATTACCCGGGTCGAGAGGTGGAACTCCCGATCGATCGTTATGGTTTAATTTTGCATGTTTCCTTTTTCTCTGCTGCTCGCCTTCACGTTTCTTGTCTTTTGCCCGTTTACTAGTCTTAACCTGAGTTGGAGGTTGTTCGATGTCCCTAGACGAAACCGATCCCGAACCCTTATCAAAGCCGTCGACATCATAGTCGCTGTCACTCTCAACCGACAACCTCTTCTTATCATCAGGACATCCTCTCGGGGGAGCCTCACTCACGCCGGACGAGCCATTCTCGCTGCTCGGCTTCCTGATCGAGCCCTCCTCCCGGCTCAACACCCCCAGCCATATCGAGCTCTCCTTAGCCGTCATCTTATCCTGCAAACACTTTGACTGCCTAATTAACCTCCTGATTTTGGCAATATCAGGCGACATGTGCTTGATGACGGCCGTCAAGACCCCAACCTTCCACATCTTCTTAAGATCATGGGGCTTCTTGTACGGTGGGCTCAGACCCCTCTGGAGCCCTAGCTTGGCCCACCACTCCTCATCCCCCGTGGGCCACCAGGGGGGAGGGATTCCCTTCTCCAGCGGGTATTTCCTCTGGGGCGGGTCACAGTGCTGCATCAGGGACGACAGGAGGGAGCCCAAGGTGGCGTCCTGCAAGTCTTGAAGTGCGTTTTTGGAATTTCCAGGGCCACCACCGCTAGCGGCCCCACCACTGGAAGCACACTCGGCCTCATGGCGGGCAATGGCGGCTGGCCCGTTCTTGTCGAACTTGACCTTCTCCTTCCACCAGGCCCGGATGTTGTCGGAGGCGCCACTCACGGGCTTGCCCTTCTCGGGGATGATGCCATAGACGAACCCACGGGCCCGACAAACCTCCATCAGCTTCAGCATGTACTTGAGAATACCATCCTGGGCCCTGGCCATCTTCTTGCGCCGGGCTTGGTCTGTGGTGGACTGGGCCTTCTGCTTCCTGGATATTGCTAGCTGGACGACGGCCAGCTTCTGGCGCTCTTTGATCCGCTTGAGCTTCACGCGGTCCTTCCACATGCGCTTCTCAAGATCCTCCGCCTCAATTTCCTCATCGCTCACATCATTTTCCTCTTCTACTTCTAAATCCGAACTGAAATTTGGCAAAAAAATTTTTAATAAAGAAAATTGGATCAAAGTAGGAACGAGACGTTCTGCAAAGTTAGACATTATATCATAGGGCATATGGTTTACAGAATCAGACCCCAATAAACAATGAGATCAAAAGACACGATTTTTTTTTTTTTCCTCAATCATCATATAATAACTATCAAATAGAACGATGGAGAAATAATTGAAAAATCTTTTCCAGATATGCAAAGCATTCATAAACAAGTTCCACAAAAAAATGAACGCCAAAGAACAACAGATTATTAAATTTTCTTCAATTTTTAATCGAGGATCGTGATCGAACCTGATATCGACACCTATATCGTCCAGCGCAGCCATTTGAGATTGAGTTCTGATGTTCCTCCCGGAAAAGCAGATCGCAAAGAAAAATAGGGTTAATCGAATTGGATGTACAAAGGATCATGAGCTAGGGGAAATGTATTCGTCTTCTCTTAGCTGTTGCTTTTGTGGTAGGGATTCTGTACGACTGTGCCGACGGCCGAGATAGAGAGGGAGAGAGAGAGAAAGGCCTGCCTCTGCCTGGGCCTGCGACTGCGAGGGCAAAGTTTGTTCATATCCAACCATGTAAAAGTGACAATGGCAAAATGCGATTTTTAAGTCAAAACGTTGAGAACTGTAAACGGCCGACGATGAAGATAAGTCGCGACGCCTTTTGTGCGGAATGAAGGGTCAAAACACGGAACTAGCCACCAAGGTGGATGGGTCATGGGTGGGTGGCTAAAATTGTGCAGTATATATATTATTGACTAGTACTACACTCGGTGTATTATATGGGTGTTTGTTAAATTTTTTTTTTTTTAAATTTAAAATTAATGAGAAAAATTAGTTGGAAAGTCAAATATTTTTTTATTAAAAAAAAATATATTAACGATAGATATATTAACACGGACAAATGTGCAAAAGGATAGCCACTAGTTGAATACAATCAACCAACATCTGAAAAAGTGGGAGGACAAGTCAAAAGACTGCCTAGAACCGACCCCAACAGGGAAATACACGGGAAGACAAAACACAACTAAAAAACAACACACAAAGACCCCAACAAGGTAATGCCCGAGTGTACGATCCCAACAGGATAATAAGGTCACACTCGGCGAGCTGAGGCCAACAGTCTAGATCAAAAACACATCCTAAACAGCACACAAAACCACTAAACTACCTACAATACAAAAACGATATAACTAAACGAGCCCTTCCAAAGCAGCAACACCTAACTGAACCAGCGAAATCAAGCCGACCGTGAATCCCGCAGCCAGAAGCACCAATCCCGAAACTGCCAAAGCCACTCAGTTGTCTGACGGTGTCGAAACCCCAGCCTTGGAGCAACATCAAGCCAACCCTCACCACGGCCACCACAACAAATTTTCCCAGACAGACAAAAGAGTGCTACGGCCCCAGCCTCGACCCCAAATCGCCTGGAAACTGCCCAAAACCACCACACCGCCGCAACACCACCCCGACCAACACCACTGGCAGAAGAATGGACGCGACGGCCCCCTTCGACCCAAAAACCGAGAACAAGGGAGAGACGGCCTTGAGCAGCAGCGCCGCTCCAATCGCCCAACAACAAGTTCGTCGGGCAATCGAGCCGCGTCCCGCCCCACGAACTGCACCACGGCTCCACCACCGCACGACATATAAGCCACTAACCTTAGTTCACGAACCGACGTCGGAATAGACGGAATCTCCGCAAATAAAGTGAGTTATTTTTTAACAAAGTTAATATGTGAAGATTTTGAATTCATGTTTAAAATAATATTTTAAATTTAATGATTAAAAGTTTAAGTGATGTAAAAAATAAAATATTTTTAATTATCTTTTATTTATTAAATAAAGTGAGTTATTTTTTAACAAAGTTAATTAAGTGAAGATTTTGAGTTCGTGTTTAAATAATATTTTAAATATAATGATTAAAAGTTGAAGTGATGTAAAAAAATAAAATATTTTTAATTGTCTTTTATTTATTGAATAAAGTGAGTTATTTTTTAACAAAGTTAATTAAGTGAAGATTTTGAGTTCATGTTTAAAATAATATTTTAAATATAATGAGTAAAGTTGAAGTGATGTAAAAGTAAGAGTCATGGGTAATTGAAAGTGATGTGTAATTAAAAATTTGTGAGTGGATAAAGATAAATTAATGTTGATAGAATGTGTGATAATAATTGATAGATATAATTTTATCATATTGATAATACTGAGAAGAGTTAAGCAACATTAAATTCGAATTGAATTTTGAGTTAAAAAATATATAAAAATACGATAAATCAAAATAAGATAATAAAAGTATATTTCCAATAACAGAGTTGAGTCTACAAATTCAGAATATTTAAAATTTTGTAATATCAAAAAAATGTATGCTATTGAAAATTGTATAAATATTCTTCTTGCATATACATAAGAAAAAATTTGAGTTTAGGGTGTATTTATTACGAATTTTGAAAAACTTTTTGAAATTTAAAGAATCCTGTTGCATTTCCTTTAAGAAATTTTAAAAACTTAAGAGGATTCATTTAAAATTTCAACAAACCTTATGAATTGATTAAATGGGATTTCAAATTTTTTTACAAAAATCACGAGTTATTCAATTTATTGATTACTTCAATTTGTCTACGCCTTTTAAGATTTATTGAAATTTCAAAGGCAAAATACAAACTCCAAATAACTTCAAATTTCACCTCCAAACACGAGATTTCAAATGATTCCTGTTAAATTACGAAATCTTAAATCGCTTGAATTTTGAATATTCACAAAATTCATTCAAAATATTAAATGAATCACCACCCCTTAATTAAGTATCAAGTATCAACTCCTTTGAGCATTTTGTTATAGAAAAGCATAAAAACATGAAATTTAGAACAACTATCCATAATACTGAAGGTGACTTAGATTACGTTTATTCCTCATGTTTGGGAACCCTAAGTCTTGAGGCCGTAGTTTCGACCTGATAAGAGCCTTCTGCGGATGGGTCACGAGGTTGTCTCTTACCATCTAAGGGCGTATAAGTCATGTCACGAGAGGAAACATAATCCTAATAATGATAAGACCTATTGACGGGAAAATACACGGCCTTTACTTGATTGGTCATTTAATCACGATCTTTAAATCTTGACAAATCAATACATGACCTTTACTTTCTTCGCAACTCGATACATGCTTTTAACAGCCGTCAACGGAAAGCTGACATGACAATTTTTTTAACGGCCACGTCACCGAAAAATTTGACTCAGCACACATGAGCCAAATCATCATTTATTTCTTGGCAGTTTAACACACCGCCTTTGGTTTCTTGGCAATGCAATACACAAACTTAACCTTTGCTCGCAAAAACTGCCACATCAGCATTTCTCAATTTAATTTTAATGCATATAATAATAATAATAATAATAATAATAATAATAATAATAATAATAATAATAATAATAATAATAATAATAATAATAATAATAACTTTTAATTATAAAAGTTATACATAATTTGTTTTAAATATGGAATAATTACGAAATTAAAATATGTAAATTAAATAAATAGATAAACAATACTACATTATTTAATATATATATATATATATATATATTTATATACTTATATTATTAATACATTTACTTATTTATTTAATTTGCTATTTTTTATTTCGTAATTAATTCATATTTAATATGTAAATTACGTATGATTTTTATAATTAAAAGTGGTATAAAATGAATTATTATACCACTTTTAAGATAAAATGATTTTGGTATATATATAAGTGAAGTCAAATATTAACACAAGTTGTGTTAGATCAAGTGGCTCATAAGCACACTTCTATTTAACTTTCATTATTATTGAACATACTTAATTAAATTAATATATTAATAATATAAATATATAAATATATATATATATTAACTAATGTAGTATTATTTATCTAATTATTTAATTTACATATTTTACTTTCCTAATTGTTGGTACCCAATATGGTTCTGATCAATTAAATAATAAATAAAATAATAAAGTACGGTCCAATAATCAAGGAGCCAGAAATACGTGATAATAAATCTACAAACAAGTTCTCAAGACTGATCGCCAGAAGTCGCCTCCAGTAAACACAATAATTGCCGATAAAATCGAAGCCATCAAAAAACATAAATGGGCCCCTGGAGTGTCACCTCGCACTAAATGCTAGTGCATTATGTTTACCTTTTTAAATTCATGTATATACAAATGAGAAGAAAGAGGAGAGAGGGGGATGATTCCATTTTTTCTTCCTCAACACAAAAGAGAAAGAAAGGAATACTCTCTAAAATAATACAAAGAAACACCATTTTTATTGATTTTGTTCTTCAATTTTCTACAAGAAGTTTGACTCTTGTTTAACAATTGATCGTCCGACTTTTGGCATCAACAATAACTATTACATATTTAATAAATAATTATGTATAAGTTTAATAATTAAAAGTTGTTGTTGTTGTTGTTGTTGTTGTCGTCGTCGTCGTTGTTGTTGTTGTTGTTGTTGTTATTGTTGTTGTTGTTGTTGTTGTATCATGTATGCATTAAAATTAAACTGATGAGGCAGATTTTTGCCAACAAAGTTGATGAATTATAGATCGAACAGAGAAAATGTCGACAGAGAGAAAGAAAAGAAAACTTCTGAAAATAAAATTGAAGAAGAAAAAGTACTATACACAATGTGGAGCAAACCCTTTTATACTTAGGGTTGTCCAAGGACAGAACAGTAAAATTACACACGCCTATAGTTGCTATATCAATTAGCAACTTTACACGACATTCTAAATAACAATTCAGAAGAAATACTTTTATATCTCTAATACATAACTCTAATACCCCCCGCAAGCTAAGCATGAATATTACACATGTTTAGTTTGGATCCCAAGAAAGAAAAAGCAACTCCTGAGAGGGGTTTAGTTAATATATCTGCAACTTGGTCTTTGGTGGGGATATAATGAAGTTGAATGAGCTTCTGTTGGAGCTTCTCTCTTATAAGATGACAATCGATTTGAATGTGTTTGGTCCTCTCATGGAACACCGGGTTGGAGGCAATGGCAATGGCAGACCTGCTATCACAAAATATAGAAACTGGGGAGGGGTGGGGTAAGTGCATATCTGCAAATAAGTATAAGAGCCATTGTATCTCACAAGAAGTGGATGCAAGAGCTCTATATTCAGCTTCTGCTGAAGATCTACTAATTGTGGATTTCTTTTTGGATTTCCAAGAAATAAGGGAATCACCAAGAAAAATACTATAACCAGTTATGCTTTTCCTAGTGTCCAAACACCCTGCCCAATCACTGTCACTAAAAGCATGTAATTCAGATTTTAGGATCTTGAAAAGAACAGCCCTTTGCCAATAGTCCCCTTAATGTATCTGAGGGTTCTATGGGCAGCTGTTAGGTGCTGTTTAGTTGGTTTTGACATGAATTGGCTAAGCATTTTGGACACTATAAGCTAAATCTGGCCTAGTTATAGTTAAGTATAGAAGTCTCCCTACCATTCTTCTGTATTCTGAGGCATCAATGAGATCTGAAGTGTCTGAGTTAGAACTGAGTTTTAAAAGAGGATCCATAGGAGTATTGGCAGGTTTACATCCTAGGAATCCTGTATCTTTCAAAATATCAAGAGCATATTTTCTTTGGCACATGTTAATGCCTTTGTCAGAGTGGGCAAATTCAATCCCTAAGATATATTTCAGTATGCCCAAGTCTTTTATTGTGAAACAACGATCTAAATGAGCTTTAATGGCAGCTATTTTCTCAATATTATTACCAGCCAAGATCACATCATCAACATATACAAGTAGTGCAACAAAAACAGGGCCATCAGATAAAGTAAACAATGAACAATCAGCCACAGATTGAACAAAACCATAGAAAATTAGGCAAGTAGTGAGCTTGTGAAACCATTGTCTTGAGGCTTGTTTAAGGCCATAAAGACTCTTGGTTAATCTACAAACCCTATTGTCATTTTTAGGGCAGTAACCTGGAGTAGGTTTCATGTAAACCTCTTCATCAAGGTCACTATGCAAAAATGCATTGTTGACATCCAATTGATGGATGTGCCATTTCAGGACAGAGGCTAAAGCAATTAAAAATCTAACAGTAGTTATTTTGGCCACAAGAGAAAAGGTATCAAAATAATCTATACCTTCCTCCTGTGTATAGCCTTTAGCAACTAATCTTGCTTTGTATCTTTCAATACTACCATCAGATTTATATTTGACTTTATATACCCATTTGCAACCAACACAATTTTTGCCCTTAGGTAATTCTGTTAAAAACCAAATTTTAGTTTGTTCTAGGGCATCAAGCTCCTTTTTCATTGCAGCCTGCCAAAGTGGATCTTTGGCAGCTTCAGTATAAGAAGTAGGTTCAGTTATTTTTGAAATTGCTGCAGTGAAACAGGAATGAGAAAAAGATAATTGTGTTGTTGACAAATAGTTCTGAATAGGATAAGGGGTTGTACCAGAGGTATTAAGTTCAGTTATGACAGAATGAGAGGATGGTTTGATAGAGTGATCATATATGTTTAAGTACGATGGGACTTTATGTGTTCTGTTTGATCTCATGGCAGGAATATGTGATGGTGAGGGTGTGGGATTCTGTATGGGGCTTGGTGGAGTAGGAGAGCTGTTTGTAGTGATTATGGTATTGGTGGGTATCTCATTGGTTGTAGTAGGTAAGGGAGTGACAGGTAATGTGTTATTGGAGGGTATAGTAAGTTGGTCTGGGAAATATGTTTCAGGGGGAGATGGAAACAAATGATTAGAATTTTCATTGTTTGAGTCTGCAAAGGGAAAACAAGATTCATAGAACTGAACATTTCTGGATAGTATTGTATTCTTGGTATCTAAGTTGTAAAGTTTATAGCCGTTACAACCTAATGGATAACCAAGAAAAATGCATTTAGATGCTCTACGGGCAAATTTTGATCTATTAGCAGTAAGAGTTGAAGCATAGCATAGACAGCCAATAACCTTAAGATGATCATAAGTGCGCAACTTATTATATAGAACTTGAAAAGGAGATTTACCATTTAGCACAGGTGTTGGGACTCTATTGATTATATGAGCTGCAGCTAACACACAATCAATCCAGAAGGTTAAAGGCAAATGAGCATTGAAAAGTAAAGCTCTAGCAACTTGAAGTAAATGCTGATGCTTTCTTTCTACCCTAGCATTTTGCTGAGGAGTTTCTACACAACTTTTCTGATGGATAATACCATTTTTAGCATAAAAATCTGTCATGAAGAACTCTGTACCATTATCTGATCTAAGAATTTTTATCTTTGTATTAAACTGAGTGACAACCATATTATAAAAGTTTTGAATGCAAGACTTAGTATCAGATTTATGAACCAGAGGATATATCCATATAGTTCTGCTGTGATCATCAACAATAGTTAAAAAGTAGGTGTATCCATCATGAGATTTTGTGTTGAAAGGTCCCCATATGTCACAGTGTATAAGTACAAAACAATGAGAAGCAATAGAAGTGCTAACTGGGAAACTCAATTTCTTTTGTTTAGCAAAGTGGCATACATCACATGGTTTATCAGGCATGATATGAGAATCAGAGAAAGGAATTTGCAGTTTTGACATTCTTGAGTATGATAGATGACCAAGTCTGTTGTGCCATGTAGTAGTGCTCTCAGTACAAGACATGTTTGCATTTACAGGAAAAGAAAAAGATACATTGGAAAAACTAGAGACAGTTTCAAAAGGAAAAGGACAATTAGATCCAATGTGTAGATGATAGAGACCATCTTTCAGTTCAGCAAAACTAATCATTTGCTGAGTGGTCAGATCCTGTAATATGCAACATGTTTTCATGAAATGAGCAGCGTAGTTATGAGTGGATACCAACTTTGAAACTGATATCAGATTGAAACTAAAATCAGGAACAAATAAGACATTGTTCAACTGCAGTTTGTTATCAAGAAGGACATCTCCTTTGTGATGTGCTTGTGTGTGGTGTCCATTAGGTAAATTGATTTTTATGTTTATAGAAGTAGGACACCCATTATAAAAACTCATATCACATATCATGTGATCAGTGGCACCAGTATCCAATATCCATGTGTTTTTGTGTAAAAGATTTTCAGTCACACAGGAGTAATGAGATATACCTGAGGCACTTGGCTGTTCAGAGATAGCAAAGGCAATCATAGGTGCATTAGTAACCCCTGCAGTGTCCTTATGCCTTTTGAATTCTAAAAACTCAGCAAGAAGATCATCAGTAATGGAATTAGTGTGTGCAGGTGTTTCAGTTGTGTTAGTATGAAGGATGTTGACTGAGGGTTGGGGAAGGCCAGTGGTATGTGGTGGAGGTCTAGGTCCCTTGGGTCCAACCCAGTTTGCTGGATAACCAATGAGTTGGAAACATTTGTCAGCATAGTGACCATTGTAGCCACAGTGGGAACATTTTATCCTTTTCTTGTCTTTAGTGAAGGCAGGTTTGGTATTTTTGGAGTCAGAAGGTGCAGTTTTCAGCAGCATTGTCATTGTATCTGGGGGATGAATAGTATTGTGGAGATTTCGTTGGGATTCCTCTTGAAGAAGGAGAGAGTATACTTTTGATAAGGTAGGCAAAGGTGTGGATAGGAGGAAGTGGCTTCTGAGTGATGAATATTAATCATGTAGGCCTATGAGGAATTTCATTACAGAATCCTGATGTTGAGCAAGAGACATTGACTCAAAAATATTACAAGTGCAAACAGGAAAAGCACCACAAGTGCATCTAACAATTGGCCTATATGTAACATACTCATCCCAAAGAGCTTTGAAATTATTGTAGTATTGTGTAATGGATAATGCACCCTGATCAATTGTACTCAATGACTTTTCAATCTGAAAAACTTTAGGACCAGTGCTTAGTGCATATCGATTACGCAATTCATCCCAAACTTCTTGTGCAGATGTGAAATACAACAGAGATTGACGCACATCTTTACAAATTGAATTCAGAATCCATGACAACACGAGATTATTCGCACGCAGCCAAGCCATGAACAATACAGTATTAGAGGAGGGAGGTGGAATGGTAGTACCATCAATGAAACCCCCTTTATTTTTTACGCTGAGCGCCATGGTGACCGCGCGAGACCAGGATATGTAGTTGTCGCCATTGAAGGTCTCTGCAACAATCAGCGCTCCTGGATTGTCAGACGCATGGAGGTAGAACAGCGTGGAAGGATCATCGGAGGGAGAAACCGTGGTCGTCATGATACCGCAGATGAACAGCAACAACAGATCGGAGTAGATCGGTAAGATAAATCGCAGTAGATCGGAGTGGATCTAGGGTTTCGATTTTTGGAGAAAAAAAATCGAGAAAAAATAGCAAAAAAATAGAGCAAAAACAACAGAAAAGCGGCGGAAGGCGGAAGAACGGTGATCGGAACTTAACCGACGAATGATACCATGATGAATTATAGATCGAACAGAGAAAATGTCGACAGAGAGAAAGAAAAGAAAACTTCTGAAAATAAAATTGAAGAAGAAAAAGTATTGTACACAATGTGGAGCAAACCCTTTTATACTTAGGGTTGTCCAAGGACAGAACAGTAAAATTACACACGCCTATAGTTGCTATATCAATTAGCAACTTTACACGACATTCTAAATAACAATTCAGAAGAAATACTTTTATATCTCTAATACATAACTCTAATAAAAGTTAAATTCGTGTATCCGGTTACCAAAAAACTAAATGTGGTGTATTAAACTGCCAAGAAATAAGTGACGATTTGGCTCATGTGTGCTGAGTCAGATTCCTCGGTCATTAAAAAAATTGTCATGTCAGCTTTCCGTTGATGACAGTTGAAAGTGTGTATCGGATTGCCAAGAAAGTAAATGTCATGTATTTATTTGCCAAGGTTTAAAAGTCACGATTAAATGGTCAATCAAGTAAAGGTCGTGTATTTTTTTGTCAGTAGGCCTAATGATAACATGTATACCTTGCTAGGCAGTCTAAGATCCCAGAAACGTATTTTACGGGAAAAGGAGATACAATACGATATTATCATCACAATATGTCTATAGCCGTACTTTGAGCAATGACTTCCCGCCAATGCTCTCGTTGACCCTCCCATTCCGCAGAGGGAGCCCCATCTTCCAACAACCCCCGCTTCTAACAACCGCGGCCGCACAGTAAACATCCGCCAGGCATGACTCCCTGCACCACTCCTCGCTCACCGAAGCATACCACTCGTACTCCGACCCCGGCCAATCCGCATTCGCCACATCAACATACCCAAAACGCCCATTCCCCGAATCTTGCTTACACCCACCCATCCTATCAGTGGAGTCCACCGCAGAGTACCCCTTATCCGGGCAGCTACAACTCGGGCTCCCGTATTTTCCTAACGTGCACAAACTGTTATACCCGCAGACCCCACCACCTTTCGTCCCCCCAACTCGAAGGCATATGTTTGTGGGCTGGAAATCATCAACCGACCATTTCATAGGCCACCCACGGGTGACGTTAGCAAACCTCGGATAAACGTAGCGCCTCAAGACTCCATCATGATCCAGAGTCATCCTCTGCCGAAAATGCTTCTTCGGGAACTTGTTTGGGAAGACCATGTAGAGCATTGTCCCGTTTTTGGAGGTCACGTAGATGTATCCGGATTGTTCGAAGATTAAACGATACCCAGAGCCGATCGTAGTCTGTGTGGACCAATACGCGAAGATGGGGTCCGTCATTGGGTGATTTATTGTGTAGAGAACAAGATTGCCGTCCTCTTGTAGTATGAGTTTGAATCTACCTTTCGAGGAATTTGTTTCCGATAAGCCGGCTAATAAGCTCCCATTTTGATTGAGTACCTATCCGATCCAGGATTTTATAATCACAAGAATAATAATGCTACAAGAAAGTATTATATAAGTGGAAATGAAAAATTTACAAAATCCAACTCTTCTCATGAAAATTAACAGTTAAACGACTCTAGTTAAAAGCTCCAAATTAGTTTTTTTTTTTTTTTTT